GCTAACTGCTGTTCGATATCCACTCTTACTCTGGTCATCTCCATCACCTTCGATGTCGGCATCTTTTCCATATCCCGCATCCAATAGCTGCCGCTGACCAACTTGCATACTTTCAGCCAAGCAAACTCCCTCTGGAGTCACCAATTTGAATATTTCTTCTTTGTCGGGCACTTTCAAACCAGGTCGAATGGTCCAAAATCCTTGATTGAGACCTTTTCTTGTGTACTCCATAAATTCCTAGAAATCATATTCAAGTTCAATATTTCGAATCAGGTTTTGATTGAGGCATCCGATCGATGAGAACCCCAACAGACTAAAGTTGGCTGCTTACTTTCAAACGCTGGCGCATTTGCATCTCATTCTGGTCATTGAAATACTTCATCACTTTACCAATCCTTATCCGACCATCCTCCGATTTGGAACATAATTTGAAGGCAATCGTCTGCAGCCGATGTTTTAATTGAGTTGTGGTTTTGCGAGAGTGCGGTCCGGGGACTTCGACGACTGGATATGTCTGACCAACAACATACAGATGGTCTATTGGTCGGATGTAGTAGTTCGTCTCAGTTTCAGTCGTATTTCTAGCTCAGTACACGTCAAATCAATTAATACCAATTGAATCAATCGACCAATGAAGTTAAGGGAGGAACGCACCTGATGACCAGAAATTCATTCGAGCTAGGTGTATGTTTGAAGAGAGGTGCACGAACGAGATTATTGTAGAGTGTGGGCACGGTTTCCCCTGGTCGGATGCTTCCGAACTTCATGAAGGGCGACTCATCGGCTACGTCTAACACAAAGGGTTCCCCGATATCATCCTAGGAGTAGCATTATTCTCAGAGTGAATCCAATAAGACTGATATAAAATTGCAAAAGTTATCGATGACACATACGTTTGGTATATGATCATCCAGCTCATTCTGCTTTCGATAGTAATTCACCAAAATACTACCCATGCCAACATTAGAAATTACAGGAGGAGCTTCTTCCTAAAGAATTGAAAACATATTGTGTCGAGAGGATAAGAAAAGTCAATATGAATGGTCACAAGGAGGATTGAAGTCTTGAGTGAGGTATACGAACAGAATACTCAAAAAGCATGAAAGGTCCGGTATCTTTTAGTGTCAAGTCGGTTGTGTTTTTTAGCAGTTCTGCGGCTGGAGCCGTGTTTCTAATCTTGCGGCCCGCCTTGTCTTTTTTCTTCTTTGCGACTTTCACTTTTGAAATTTAATTGGGACATTGACTGGAAACTGGAGGGCCGGTCTGTGGAAAGATCGAGCCTCGTGCTTCGTAAGACGTGTCTTGTACTATATTCATCGACAAGATTACAAAAACGATGCCAGGAAAGGTTTCATTAGGCTGTAGATCGCAAATAAACAAGAGTTTTGACAAGCACATACCAACGGGAGCTGTAACTTCATAGCCGGGTAAGAATGTTGGACTTCCAAATTACCAAAGGTTTGTCTGACACGCCGACGATGCTCTTTAGACACTTCATAAAATCGGTCATTTGATAAGTTGAATGGATCTAATGTTTGTTGCTTGCTATCTCGGTTCAGTGTGCTGGAAGTACGAGCGATAGGTGCCTTGCTCTTAACAACTTCTTTCTCAATTTCCACGCCCTGTGCTTGATTGTTGGATAACGATCTAGCGTCTTCTTCAACGACATGCAGAGTGGTAAAATCCTTCCAAGGGCGATTCTTGGCATCATAAATTATGCAATCGAGCCAATCACCTTCCTCTACTTCGGGATTACGTGGTCGTGATAGTCTGGTGAGTGTATCAATAGGTTGCGACAGAGGATTTGGTGATGGTTGTGGCTTCCAAATAATATCACTTTCCCAATCTTGCATTGAAAGAGCTTGCCATCCGCGATCGTCATGCGGAATTCTCCAAGGGGTCGCGCATTTGGATGCCTGCTGAGCTAGAAGTTGTTCGAGGGATGTCTCTTCAACGAGGGGCCTTGAAGGTATCTTCGATTGGAAATTAGACTCTTCTTTGACTGGAGGTAACGTAGCTAGCAGTTCTTGATATGATTCTTGTAGCATCCTTGGCAGCTTGCTTTGATCAGGAGACCGCTGAGACAAATTGAGAGTGGGTTTTTCTAAGAGGTAGGAGGTGGACATTGCAGGTGGTAAGGTTTCAGGGAGATTTACATCGACATAACCACCGGTGACTTTTTGACGTTTTCTGGGTACAGTAGCGAACAAATCGGTGAATTGAAGTATGCCACCTTCGACGAAGGTTGGGAAGAGGTCATGGACGTTGGCAGGTTCAGGTTCATTCTTCTCTAGTCCGACCACAGTTGGTGAGCTTGGGATCTGGAAGGCGGAGGATGGGGTGGAGCCGGATGATGAGTAACGATGAGATAGTTGGAGTTGCTGTGAATGCTTTTTCGGCCTGAAAACTTGTGGGCTATCAGCTGCAAGGCTTTCGTCTTCGTCGATATCCTCTTCTTCATCATAATCATCCGTCTCGCCACGCACTTTGCCGATCGTCGATGGCCGTCTTTCGAGTTCCTCCTGAAATTCTTTGTCAACTTCATCTTCCCAATCTTTTTTCAAGGATGAGTCGCTCAGGAGCCTGCCACGTCTATCTTGTGAAGCGTTTTCTCCATAATCTGCAGGGATGCCGGTATCATCATCAGCAAATTTGCCATTGTATAGATCTTCACGTCCGTAGCCGATATTAGCGGAGCTTAGACCGAGTTGAGCACGTAGACCTGAAACAGCATCGGCATCCAAATCGGTCAGAAGACCTTCGAGGGCGAATCCACCGAGTGAAAGAATTGCATCCTCCTCATCGCGAGGCATTTTGAAGGATGTCGGAGTCCTTGGAGCTTGAAGAATCGGTTCAGTAACCCGACGATTCGGTTTCTGGCCTCATGAGTTGATGTAGATCTGAGCCGATGAGATGTTTCCGGCAGATGGGGCTGGTGAAGTAGTTAGTTGGGGGAAAGGCTGGATGGAGGACCGGCCGGAACAGCGGGAGGACTTGGCCATCCTTGCATCGCCCGTCGAATCATGCGCGCTTGGGGTCGGGGCAGCAGGCCCCGGGGGACCGGGTTCACAGCTTGGCGATAGGTTGGAGATGTCACAGAGCTGTCAAGCAGAGAAATGGGCTAATGTGTCACACTTCAGCACACTTCCACTGCATCATCTACATATAACTAAAGGAATAGCCTCAGAGGGCCAAACAAACCGTCAGGCTTTCTAACCTCGGCGTCGACCCTCAATTCAGCTTTGTATTGAATTCTCATGCGGCTTCTAACGCCGGCGTCGATGTTGGAGAGTGAACTGGCCATTCACCCAGCAAGTGAAGGGCTGATCGTCACACAGGCGGCCAGGCCATCGCTTTGAGATCGCTTTAATTGATTGCTTTGATCCAATCTGAATTCATTCCAACCTCGATGAGCCTCACCAAATTTGATGAACCTCCGGTTTGCTGAGCTATCATCAAGCATGCTCTTGGCCTACAACCAATCACAACTCAGTCTCCCTGATTCAGATTACTGTCAATTCCTACTCAAAAAGGGACTTTTTTCTGAAAATCATCCTTTTTGTTTAAATAAGCCAATAACATCAAATAACATCAAAACATTCTTAAACAAGCCAATAACATCAAATAACATCATCATCATGAATCAATTCAAATGATATTGAAAATAATTGTAGCAAACAATAGTAAAAGCATCAGAAAACTTTGAAGAAACTGAAAGAGGTGGTAAAATCTGGAAAACTTTGAAGAAACTGAAAGAGGTGGTAAAATCTGCAAGTAAGACTGACTGAACTCATTCAAATTTGAAGTACCATGCAATGTAAAATCTGCATATTCCCTTTCACATTGAAATTTTCCTCAGCTTGCTTTTAGCTTATAGTCCAAGGGGATCAAAAACTGCCATATAAAGTAAAACATTTTTTTCAGTTCTGAAATTGAAGAAAGTTTTGCTAATGTATCAAATGCTGATTGAATTCCAACCTTGGCATCAATCCTCAATCCAGATTTCTGATTTGTATGACATTCTCATGAAGCTTTTGAGTTTGATTTCTTCATCAAAGACTGAATTCCAACTCCTCATTGTAAATTGTTTGGATTTAAATCTGGATGCAATTTTTGCTTCCATCATGCCACATTTACATTTGTCATTAATAAATCTGCTGTGACCAAAGAAGCATAGACAAAATTTTATTTTGAGATAGGATTAAAATCTACATTTGAATTCATTCCTGAAAATAGCATGGATCATTTCAAAAGAATTGCTCCCCCTTAATTTATATTCTAACCCTGTATATCTTCTCTGATTCAAGGACAAAACATGGCAAGTGTGACCTGATGCAAAATAATTGTTTACAACACCTGTTCAGTTTTTCAAAAATTCCAGTAATACCTTGGTCAAAATTGGGAAGTATAGAAAATTCTAATCAAGGTAATTGTTTCAATTGAATACTTGAGTTTTTTAATTCAGAATCAATGCTTAAACTTGGTTTCTTCCTCAGAGATCACTCAAAATTTGATTCAAGAAAATCCAATGCTGACAATGTGCACATTTCACAGTAACTTTGCATAAATTGTTACTTTATTTTTTGTTGTAGTTATAAGACAAGCTACATTGGGAGTAACCCACATTTTGGCTTCTTCCAGTTTGTTATATTTTTTCTTGAAGTTTGGCATATTTTTTCTTGAAGGTAAATTTTTCAGGCCCCATTTGGACAGCCCGTTATATGTCATAAATCATTGAATTTATAATGTGTGACCCCCGGTGCGGGGCAATTTATGATGTATAACAGGATGTCCAAATGGGGCTCAATTATTGAGAACTGGAATTTTGGAATACCCTCCTTATGATTTCACTTAGTTGAAAATACAGATCAACTATACGGAGAAGTACACATCAATACAATAGAGCTATACAAAAAAACCTAACAAAGAGCTAATGATAGTATTGCAAATGCTTACATACACAGCTTCATTCATACATTGGATGGAGGACTGAGATCTAGGAGGAAATGCCACTTTCCACTGACCAGGGGCAGAATTAATATTCTGATTGTTTGGCCTATTTTATTACTATGAATGTATCTTACATTAGAGGGGTTCACAATTGAACTTCAAGTGATTTTTATGGTGTTTTTGAGCAACATTTTATGAATTTCTTTGAGTTTTTCCAATTTATTAATTTCTGAACCTTCTGTACATCACAAAAAAATTGTACATTCATGATCAGAAACACCTTAAAAATGGCCTTAAAGTTCAATCTTGAACCCCCCTATTGGAATTGGAATTTCTTTTTGCAATGTTAATGTTTATACAAGGTTCTTCAATATCTTCAAAGGCCTTGATCATGAAAGAATCCAATACTGTTTCAAATTATGTTTCACATATTACACTGATCTTTTTGAGGCCATCTTTATCATCATTCTGCTAATTGATGTGCCTTTTATCACCAGGAAATCTCTCAAGTATCCTAATTAATCCAATCCTGTTCTCCCTTTCATTTAAAACCCCCCTCTGACCCCAAAAATGGGGGCTATGCCCTCGTCTTTGATAAACTAATAGAGGTTTGGACACCAAAAGGAATTGAATCATGAATTCACCCGAGGGCAAACCTTTTGTACATACTGAAGACATGGGAATACAGATCCCCTAATGGTAAGCAATGGGTGGTTCTCGCAGGGTAAAATAAAATATCTGGATTATCTTGACAAGCCACCAATATCTGAGCAAATCCATCCCACAATTTCGCTAAGTCCCACATTCATGCCCCCCCCCCTTCTCCCAGCAGCCTGCCCGGGCATAATCGACCCTTACAACAGACATCACCCCCCTTTACACCAGACATCACCCACCCTTACATAGCCCATACAATCATATGACGGCTTACTTCCCCCATAACTATGTAATTGTCCCCGATCTGTCACACAGCTCACTCCTCCAACCCGGGGTCCGTCCCGTCTTTTCACAACACCACCTCAGAGTCCCGCTCGGTCCCATCTTTCAGAACTCCGAGTTCGGTCCCGGCACGGGCTCATCTGTCATTAACACACGGGTCGGCTCGCTCCTCGCCGGCCATGTACACAATCACCTCACACCACATCACACCCTCCGGCCCCTGTAACAACCGCAGGCCCGACTCACTACCCACAACACCTCACCACATCAAACACCCATAACACCCCACCACACAAACACCCAGAACTTATCACACCACTCCCCTTGCTTATATCTTTTGATAAATTTGATTTGTTCAGTGTCATTTCTCTCGATGTAATTCCTCAATGTACATATATTATTGTTTTCAGATGGCATTGTGCAGAAATGAAATAAAAGCGTTTGTCACAGGTGCACATTTCAGTATGTTCGAGATAATAGTTTGATATCAGCAGCAGATAAAAGAAAACAATGCAACACAACTCGCATAAGACTCTTAGCAATAGACATAAAAATAAAAATACTACAATCCACGTGCATCCCCTGCGTCCGCCTCATCACCAGCCGCATCAGTCTCATTTATCCATTCGTCATCAGCATCTTCACCATCCAGTGCCCCCTCCTCCAGAACCGCCTCTTCCAAATGCTCATCAACCCCATTCACCTCATCAGCAGACCCTTGCTTGCGAAGGTGAATTCTTATAAGTAAATCGTGCCACTGTGTGATATGTGGCTTATTAGGTAGCGGTTGACACCTATCCCAAAGCCATACAATATCGTTCGACCACTGTTCCACAAGCGTCTCATGCAACAGAAGCTGAGATTCCAATTCGTACCGTACCATCTTCATCTTCAGTAGTCTGCCGACTCCACCTAGATGCATCTGATCAATATGATCCGTGGGTACCAAGCGCAGTTGTTCCTCGACGCTCACGCTCGGTTCCGATTTGTTGAGTTTTTTCAATAGATTGTGTCCTATACGCAAACATCTATCTCAGTCCCAAGGTCGATAACTAGAAAAAGATGAGATACTCACGATCCAAGAGGTAGACTATGAACTTTGTAAGATGATCATAGTGTGCAACTGCCCAACCAACGGCCCGAGCCAATTCTTGGGCGATCAGCTGGAATTCTTCTTGAATCCTGCTCAAGATAAGTATGCAATTGATTCCTGTTCGAACCTCCGGGTCGACCGCCCAAGGAGCCTTTGAGTGAAAGTAGAATCCATCGTTCCAGAACGAGTCGTCCAATGGTAATGCTTCAAAAACCTCATAAGACAAATTGCCTTGGAAGCCTGATGGTGCTTGGTCGGGGAATTTGGCTATGAAGTTTTTGGAGCATCGGTTGAAATTATCAATGCTTTTCTGGATCGCTGGTCGACGTGCTTTAATTGCTTTGAAGATTTTCTCCTTCAACTTCGTACCCAACCGCGCACCGATTGTTCTCGAATTGACGATTGGTTGATACTCGGCATGCAAATGGACAGCGTGCACGAATAGCTCTGACTTAGCATCCCAAAGCAAGAGCAAAAGTCGCTCCTCGTCATTCCTTTCCGTGCCTGATGCCGCACTTACCGTCAACTCGAGTGCAATAAAAACCTAGCCTCAAAGACTCACCTTCGGCAGTAGAGTAGGACCTATACAACTCTTCGGCTTCCTTTTTGAGAGTCTCGGTCTTCTTTGCGATAGTGTCAAGGAGCTCCGAAACTTGCTGTTCAGTTGCGAGGAACACTTCCGGGCCCATGAGCCGGTTCCTACATCCGTTGTACAGGATTGTATTAGTTCAAAGACAAAGATTAAACCAAACTGAACTTCTCACCTCAGCAAGTCCAGGACTGCTTCATCTTTATAAAGCTTAACCAAACGAAGTTTTCGATCGTTCTCCTCTTCTGTGTGGTTGGCCTGAAATTGTCGTTGGTCTTTCCATTGGCGCTTGAAAAATTTAGTTGTGAAAACGCCGCCATTATGCTCATGGCGGTTAGTTTGGCCAAGCAGGCCACCCAAGATTGTCCGAGTTTCTTGGCGCCGTTTAACTGCATTGTTGAACTTCCTCTTTAGCCAGAGGGCTGCAATACAGGTCAGGTTGATGAAAAGTTGGGGTCAAGGACAAGGCTACCAAATGGGAAATGGGCTCAACTCACCTAGTTGGTTATGCCCCCTGAAGTTGTGATACTTCAGCCGATGAGAGATTGCTGCGAGCCTGTGATTGCGAGTTGCGTAGCGTAATGGACTGACGAGAGGAGAGAGATAAGCCCACATTCGTTCAAGTCCTTCGCCGTCGGATAAGCCCCAGCCGACATTGTATCGTGGGTTGTATTCCAGTTGACACATCCAGTTATGGACGTAAGCGTGAAATATTGAGGTTGCAAATTTGATCCGACTGCAATCGCTACCAAAAAGATTGCGCTAAAGAACCATAGTTGAGGCAAGGATGAGTCAGTCAGGCCCGTTAGACAGCCAGCCGATATAATGAGATTCAGATTCAATATACTAACAATTGAAATGAATTTGTTAAGAGAACATCCAATATCGTATAGGACACCAACTTGTCGGTTTGGTTCAATAGCTGTTAATACCTTCTTGATCAGTGCACAGGGGAGACTCCTCTGCTCGCCAGACTTATAGATATTCGCAACATAGACAACGGAATCGTGACGACAACAACACCCCATCAATCCCGTGTCATCGCATCCCTTCCACGTCGATTCGTTTCGTTTATCGTCGGCCGCTTTATGTGCGTCCGCGCAGCGATCAGCCTTGGAGAGATCGATAATGTAATGGAGAAGAAAAAAAAGAGCGAATGTTAGAGGGCAAAACCAACATTGAGTAGGAGTAAGGGACCAAGTTGACCAATGCACCTGGGCCGGGGGCTTATGCTCCAACTCCTTTAGCCTGATCTCTGCCTTCATGTTTTCCACTTCGTTCTGTTGAAGAAAAAAACGATGTGCCCGAATCGTTTCGTCCCGGCTGGCCTTGGAGTGATGGCGGTGTTGAAAGTTTCCATCTAAGCATAATATCAAACGGTCTCGAGTGGCGGTGGGGTACTGGTTTGCATTTGGTGGCTGCGGACCAAAGCAAGCGGGGCATGACACGGAAGCAAGTTGCTGCTGTTCTGTGAGTTGCAAGGAGGACATAATCATGTTGTGTGACATGTCGTTCAGCTCCCGGTACATATCGATGGCCGCAGAGAACGGCTTGCGAAGGTCACGAGCCTGCACGAAGGGAAACTGGTAAGCGAAGGAACTTCATGTCTGATTGAAGAAATAATATAAACTTACATTTCTCGAATTTTGGCGAAGAGCCGACCCGTTCGAGGCTCAAGCCAGTCTTGGAGAGCCAAGGTGAATGGCATGGTACCGACATGACAATGGTTCCCATAAATCGTTATGAAAAATCATTAAACGCATCGAGAACGCTGTCTGGGGTTGCATCGGGGAGCCCGCGAGGTAGCCTTGCTGCATCAATCGGACTGCATCGGGAGTGCAGCAACAGAACGACAGTTTGACCCTATGCTGACCTGTTGAGGAAATATGTGATCATCAGTATTATCAGTATTCAGTTTACTATTCTGTTTGGGCCTCTAACTCACCGATAATATCGACTAAATCCACGTATCTCTTGGTCAGAGTATGCGGCAGACAACGACAATTTACAAAGGAATTTGCTGCTTCGGGGCCTGCCCAATTCTGCGTTTTATGTTTCAGCGCAATGTACATTGGATGTAACAGCCTCAGGACGACCGACGAGTTGAAGAGTCTGGCTTCCCGTCGATGCGCTTCCATTCTGGAAGCGATCGCCTCGTCAATTGGATTTGGCGGTGGTTCTTCAGTCAAGGTGACCCACTGATCCTCTTCGTCTTCAGTTTGGTCGTCAGGAGTGTTGTCGGGGGGGATTTCATGGTCGTAAGCTGGTTCAAGTATTTCGTCTTGGTCAAGAGGTTCAGATACGGCCACTTGATCAGCTCCACGGCGAGCCGCCTGCTGACGAGCTCGGTGCCTTGCCAACATGGCCGCGTTGCTGGCCGCATAGGCTTTTTGCCTCAAATTATTTGCGCGAGATCCGCTGAACGCAATCGGGACAGTGTAGCGCATGGTTGCAAATGGTTGGACTGAGATCTAACTAGTTAATCATTGGCAGAGCAGTATTTATAATGGTTAACGATAATCTAGGAATCCAGGTGGCCAACAGGAAAAATTCAAGTCCGCGGTGGATACCGACGTGATAAGATGTGACTCACCAGCTGGTTAAAATATCTGACAGAAGCAGGGACCGAAAGCAGGGACCGATCGTACATTTGATTAAACTTAGTTGACCAGGAAACCAGCGACAACGGATGTGTTGGCCATATCGAATGAGGGTTGTGCGGACTAATATATCTTGATCAGGATGGCCATATGCGGTCGGGCCGAAATGACATTTCGGGGTTGGGCCGGACCGGCTTGCCGGGGTCCGGCCGAAACCGTTCGCCTAATGAAATACCTTGTTGGTCCGCAGTGATTGCAGCAATATGAGCCTACTCTGTAGAGTCTGCACCCTAGTTCTTGCCGGACATCCCACCATTTCTATGGATCATATTGCAGATGTGTGATATTCTGAAAACCTCCCAAATAGGCTTACTGAAAGTCAGATATTTGACCCAATCCATGATGTGATGGGGTTGAGATTTAATAAGCAGGATTAATGACAGGTAATGGCTAGTAGGCAAATACTTGATAGAAGTTTGCCCCAACAGAATTCCAAAAAAATAATTGATTTTGAAAGCTGAAATTTGATGGAAGTTTTGCCCACCAGAATTAGTATGAAAACAAAATAACCAAAAAAGAATTGATTTTGCTGAAATTTGATGGAAGTTTGGCCCAACAGAATTAGTATGAAAACAAAATAACCAAAAAAATAATTGATTTTGACAGCTGAAAAACAACACATTTTATCTTGATTGACTGTATTTGTTTGTTGCTGAGTGATAAATTGAATCACTGCATTTGATTGATGGGCCAAGTGATAAATTGAATCTACCCAGAAGTATGCAGTCAGTAACTGGTTATAAGTTGTGCAGTCTATCCACCACAAACACATAAACACACACCCATGTTGAAGTCACTTGAATGAGTCAATTGTGATAAGTTGTGCAGTGATGACACATAAACACACACCCATGTTGAAGTCACTTGAATGAGTCAACTTGTGATAAGTTGTGCAATGATGACACATAAACACACACCCATGTTGAAGTAACTTGAATGTGACAATTGTGATAAGTTGTGCAGTCTATTCACCACAAACACATAAACACACACCCATGTTGAAGTCACTTGAATGAGTCAATTGTGATAAGTTGTGCAGTGATGACACATAAACACACACCCATGTTGAAGTCACTTGAATGAGTCAACTGGTGATAAGTTGTGCAGTGATGTATTAGACTATTCACAACAAACACATAAACACACACCCATGTTGAAGTCACTTGAATGAGTCAACTTGTGATAAGTTGTGCAGTGATGACACATAAACACACACCCATGTTGAAGTAACTTGAATGAGTCAACTGGTGATAAGTTGTGCAGTGATGTATTAGACTATCCACCACAAACACATAAACACACACCCATGTTGAAGTCACTTGAATGAGTCAACTTGTGATAAGTTGTAGAGTCATGTTTGAGACTTTCTGTTGAACAAGATTTGTTTTGGCTGGAGGCAGTTAAACACAAATCCATGTTGAAGCAACATGAAAAAGATCTGGGATGTATTGTTGAATTTTAGAACAGAAAGTGGAGCAAGTGTGACAATTATGTTCAACAGCCTTGCCCCAAGTGATGTGCTTGTGGTGCATACTATCCTGCATCTCTGACTGCACAACTTTTCACAAACATAAGAACAACTGTTCAAAATAACAACACTTTGTACCTTTTCACAACATGATAACAACTGTTTACAAACCCACAACATTTCAAAAAAAAACAATCAATGTGCACTATTCTAAGATTCAAAACAAACAGTGTTCAACTCAAACAAACACTTGAAATGGCTCCTCTTCTGAACATCCACAACAATTGTCTTGTTCAAGTCCCTTTAACATGGGTTTATGTTTAACAGCTTTGCCCTAAGTGATCTGTTTTGATGGATACTATCTTCTTTTTAGCTTTTATATGAATATTTATTTTATACTTCTCATTGCAAGTTCACAACATGGCATATCAGATTGCTACTAATCCAATGTTTTAACAACAAGTCAAATTTGAATCAAAAATATGAAAATTCAATGCCCTGGCAAAAATATGTACTGGCTGATGGATGGGGATCAGCAGTTACCAGCACTCAATTATCCTATGTAATCCTGCAACTGCGCAGCTACTATTACAATACGCAGCTGCCCTCCGGATTTCACCTTAACTGTTGAGCATTTTGATCAGACTTTTACATGGAGGTTATTATTCTTGCTCTCCATTCAACGCTCATTTGACCCTCAACTCATTTTGCTCACATACCTCTCGAACGCTTGCGATTGACATTGAGAACGTGCGCGGGCAATTCAGGAACTATTTTCTGTAAGCCTATCTTACCTTTGGTGATCCGTAATCGATATCTTATTACTGATTGTGCATATCTTGTTGTTCATTTTGCTTTCCAGGGGCCAGTACAAGGCGATATCCAACTCCGCGGAACGATTGAGATTGACGAAAATTTATGGTTGCAACTTCCGAACATATCAATCCCATTCATTCAAATTTAAACCCCACCCGACAATCCTACTTAACTCCAAGAATAAGCCGTTTGGACCGAACGAATATCTCAGACAAGCCGATCGGACAGAGGCGATATCCATTCTAGTCAGTAGCAGTGGTGTGCGACTACTTTGTAAGTCGGCATTTTATAATCTGAGGGACTCATGGCCGTCTGAGTCACCCCCCACCCATGGTTCCAGCACAAGACTGATTATTCTTCGTGTTACTACTTCTGTCACTATGCTGCCAGGTCGCCAGCAAATAGGCACACCTGCTGGCCAGTCTGCACGCTTACGTGCAAGTCTCGGTCAACCTCAACGAGCCGCTTCCCGGAGAGGCAGTGTCCAAAGTGCTGCAGACTCCTTGCTGTCTGGTTCATCAAACCGCCCACCGAAGTTGCCACCAACCTCAAGAAAATCATCCAACGTTTCGCTTCCTTCATCACCCAAAGCCTCCAAACCCAGCACCTCCTCAACCAAAACCACCACCTCCGAACCTTGTGGCATTGCGCCATTGGAAATCGATTTGCCCACGAGTCCGCCCTCACCCCTAAACATTAAACCACCGACCATGTCAAACCCTTACGATAGTCATGCTCCCGGCCGTGGCCCACCAACAAGGTCTCAGCCTTTCGAGAATTTCATACCCATGGACCGAGTTCCGTTTGGATTGCCGGCTGATGATCATGATCAACTCTACTTGGAACCGGGGTTCTATCCACCCGAAAACAACTGCTCTTTTGCGCAGTCAAGTCTCGGGACCGATCAACCAACCGCTGCCTACTTTGATCCGAACATCGGAACCAATCAACCAACCACGGCGGCCTACTTCGATCCAAACATCGGAAGCGTTCAACCAACTGCGGCCTACATCGATCCAAACTTCACCGCAACTCAAACAGCGCATTCTTACTCACAACCTAGTCAAACCATTCATTATCACACCCAACCAAACCCCGCTTTGACACACCCAAATGATGATCAACCTGCTCAATACCACAATCAACTCGACGTGCAGCCATCATCTTTGCCAGTTCAAACTCCGCTACCATCACACCCAACTAGCCATGTACCTTTGCAGCCAGATAGTCATGCACCCTTGCAGCCGACTAGCCATGCTGTTAGCAAACAGACGTCGCTCTTGTCGAACTCGTCCCAAGCTCAACCTCCAGCAAGCAACCAGGCGTCGCTCTTGTCGAACTCGTCCCAAGCTCAACCTCCAGCAAGCAACCAGACGTCGCTCATGTCGAACTCGTCCCAAGCTCAACCTCCAGCAAGCAACCAGACGTCGCTCTTGTCGAACTCGTCCCAAGCTCAACCTCCAGCAGCTACGCCCTTGCCGAGTTGGGTGTCAAACTCGTCCCAAGCTCAACCTCCAGCAGGAGCGACGCCCTTGCCGAGTTGGGAGCAACTGACACAAGATGCCGAAGACGCTTATGAACAGCAGCAATCAAACTCCGCAAGAGGAGCACCCGGTCGTGGGACTGCTCGAGGGAGGGGTTCAAGAGCCCGGGGAGCAAGTACTGCGAAACGCGCACGAGGTGGTGCTGCCCCTCGTGGGCGTGGAAAAGGAAAATCCACGCCAGGCAAATCTGCCGTGGTCGATCAGCCACTGGCTGATTCCTCAAGCACCCGCAACAGCCCTCAGCCAGAACAACCCGATCAAAACCACGAACCGGATCGACAATCTGATGCGGCTCCACGTGATCTTCCCTCTGGCAATGGGGTCAGTCGAGCTTCTCGTAGACGACTTGAGCCTGATGTCCTCGCTCTCTATAAAGATGAATCGCTCGACGAACTGCGCCGCCTAGCTCGTAAGTTTGCGACAACAACACGTATTACTGCGGAGCAACAACTGGAGCTCTGGGAAATCTATGTGGCTTACCAACGCGAAATCCACATAATGGCAATCACTCACAAGTTGGACCCCGGTGCGGCATTGGAACACCTTGGGAACAACACACGAATTCGCGGTCCAAGCAACTACAATAATTTTTGCTCATATGATCCCGAAGCCGCTCCTATCCACAATGATCGTAAGTAGCCTGAGATACAATCTACCTAAATCGATCCTTTTTCTGATCAATCGACTGGTACCTACCTACAGATACTATACCCTTTCAAACACGGTCCGTGCAATGCGCGGCGCTCTGGCGGAAGTTGGATAAGAAAACCAAAGACAAGTATCGCGATCCAGATTTCCTTGCCACCTTACCTAATCCTTACTTGAGGCCAGCAGCGTCTGTCGAGGCCGATCAACATCCTGACAATGATGGAAATCCTGAGCAGGGAAAGAAACAAGTGCGAAGGAAAGCTTATTCTGACATGAAACCCGATCGATGGGCCAAAAAAACCCTTCTGGATGTAAGTCGATCTAAATCATCATCTAATCGGTTTCTATCGGGACTGATTTTTTTTTTTAGTTGAGGAGACTTTCAGAAGCCTACCAAGTGGAAGGGTTCATGGTCTTCGTATCGCGGCGCAAGAAACGAAGTATAATAACTGCTGGTGGCAGTCACCTGGGACAAGAGTTCATCGACATGGTTGAAGGCGACATCGAAACCGGTCCCTGCCAGGACTTTGTGGAGTTTGTTAATGGTCAAAAGGCCATTAAGAAACTGACCGGGAAGGACCCGCTGCCTGTCAAGAAACCACGTAAGCCAAGAAGGGGTAAAAAGGACTTCGAAAACGGGGTGTATGATAAGGGTTAGTTCTTGTATCTTTGTTGGGTCAACAGTGTAACAAATTGTGACTGATCGCTTCGACTTACGGTTACAACTTACAGGTAGTAAAGACGAGAATCTCACCGATGTCCGAGAAAAACTTCGAACCGCGCTAAGTATGTTCGTGTCTGCTTTAATGCAATAGATCAAAAGCAACGGCTGATGGTGTGTTGATAGCAAATGCAACGTGTGGACGATACGACCATGGTTGGCCAAGCAACACCAAGGTCAAGCTCAAAGAACTCGGCGTGAAGATGTGGGTCAAACACAACAATCTATTTGTGACGCCCGAATCGTTTTGCGGAGCCCTTGCGCCCAAGTGGAACGGGGATTTAAAGAGACTACAGGTTGCGATTGGCGAGGGTTGGTTCAAGCTTGAAGGACCTGACCATCCAGGCTCTTCAGGTGTGGATGTAGTAGCTGCTGGTGAGGCTGATGCTGCTGATGCAACTGCTCACGGCGACTCGCAAGCGGGGATACCATCCGGTAACATAACTCAAGATCAAGAAGCAGAAGACAACACCAATAATGCTGTCATCTTACCGCAAGAAGCTACCTCAGTTACCGGAAAGCAAGGCTGGACTGCTTTAGCAAGCCCGCCTAACTCTCCTCGACCGACAAAGCGCCGTGGTCGCGGTAAGAAGAAAGTGGCAACTAGCAGTGATGGAGGAACCTTCTGCAAAAAGAAAACACTATCAGATTTTCTGGCAAGGAAGAAAGCCGCGGAGAAATCACCTGACCCAAGTGATCCCAAGAAACGTGTTCGTCCGAAGAAGGTGCCTGTTCCCAACAAAACAGCTGGTCCGAGCAAGACGGTGACGATAGCAGCGGGTAGGGGTGCTAAGCGTGGGCGTGATGCTGCTGATGAACGACCCAACGCTTCTAAGAAATCTCGTACGGTCGAGACAGATGACGAGTCAGAAGCTACGACGCCCTCTGAGTCTTCTTCCGAGAGTGATCCAGAAGCCTCCGAGTCTGAGGACAATGACGAAAGTGAGGACGATGATGATGATGACGGAAGTGAGGACGAGGACGAGGACGAGGATGATGGAAGTGAGGACCAGGTCGAAGACGAAGAGTAGCAATTTCCCGTTTTCCTTGTCTGCTCGCCTGAGCTCTCTTTTGTTGTCCGCTTGCCTGTGCTCTCTCTTTTGTCCGCTTGCCTGTGCTCTCTCTTCTGCTCTATGTTCCAATTGTTTTTTTACATTACTGTTGACTGCGCATGTTTTGATGCTTACATATCTCTTGATTGTCAACTTCTCTCTTGGTTATCTGTTTCTCTCTCTCTATTTGTCTAGCCTGTATCAACATGAGCCTGTGTGCAATCTCTCGTTATGAAGAGGAAATGATATGTTACGTTTCTTTCGAATCAAGCTAGATACATGCCTAACAAACATATGTGGAGTAACAAACATGTGTGGGTTGGGTAGTTGTGGAGTTGATGGGGCACCGTGTGATGTGGTGAGGTGTTGTGAGTAGTGAGTCGGACCCGCGGTTGTTACAGGGGCCGGAGGTGTGATGTGGTGTGAGGCAATTGTGTAGCCGGCAAGGAGGGAGCCGACCTGAGTGTTAGTGACAGATGAGCCCGTGCCGGGACCAAACTCGGAGCTGTGAAAGATGGGACTGTGTTGGAATTGCGCCCGCGCTCACATCCTCTTTCTCTCTCCGCGCTCTCTCCGCGCTCTCTCCTTCCTTTCTCCCTCGCTCTCTCTCTCTCTATTTCTCTCTCTCGCTCTCTCTCTCTCTATTTCTTCCTTTCTTCTCCCTTATTCTCAAATCATCTCCGAAACATCCTCCACGACGCACCTCTCGCTCTGTATCAGCTCCGCAGCCTATCTCAACCACAAGTCGACACTCATCCTCAAATCACATAAATAGTCGACCGATGGCCAACCGTTTTCGTCTCCTTCCCCTCAGCAGTCTCCATCCACTCGACAACTATCACTCACCTTTCGACTCAACTTCCCAGTCCTCAATACTGCTCGGACATATCCCCAACAAATTCTCACCCATCTAAACTTCAATCATTCCCCTCTTCTTCGCTCTCCGACTCCGCTTTCTTTTCTCTCTCTTTCTCTATCTTCTCTCAACTATCTCACTCCTTGCTCACTCGCATCGACGACGACTTCAAATCATCTCATCCTCAACTCAACCGTCAATCATTCTCCTCGCTCCAACGCTATCTCTAGAACTGCTCACTTGGCTCTTGCCAATTTGGTGAGAAAACTTATTGACCGTTTCTACTTGTCAAAAATCATCGTGTTAATCTTTGTCACTTTCTGTGTTCTAGTGTCTATTATTTCTCCTTGTTTGATTTGATCTACTTCAGTCTTTCTGTTTTCTCTAAGCCTAAAAGTAACTCTCATCGTGGTACGCTGAAAGATTCTCTCAAAACTTTTTCTTTGATTTCTTGTCATCATTGTTATTTTTTCTAACTTGTTTCTTTTGATAGTTCTGGTTTTGGTTTCAGTAATAAACCCTGTTTTTCTACAGACTGGGCGGGACTCTGAGGTGGTGTTGTGAAAGACGGGACCGGGTTGGAGGAGTGAGTGTGACAGATCGGGGACATTTACATAGTTACGGGGGAAGTAAGCCGTCATATGATTGTATGGGTTATGTAAGGGTTGGTGATGTCTGGTGTAAAGGGGGGTGATGTCTGTTGTAAGGGTTGATTATGGCCGGGCAGGCTGCTGGGAGAGGGAGGGGGGGGCATGAATGTGGGACTTAGCAAAATTGGGGGAATGATTTGCTCAGATATTGGTGGCTTCTCAAGATAATCCAGATATTTTATTTTATCCTGCGAGAACCACCCATTGCTTACCATTAGGAGATCTGTATTCCCACGTCTTCAATATGTACAAAAGGTTTGCCCTCGGGTGGGTTTTTGAGGCTTGAACCAAGGACTTGTTCATGAGTGCACAAGGCTAGACATTTTGAATACTTGCCAGACTTTGAAACATCGGATGACTTCCCCTCGGATCTGGGACCCCCACAGTTGTTGATTTTAGAGCAACTCCACCGCGGGCGCTAAATCGGGTCCCTAGTTGGAATTTACCGACCCAACGTGAGCCACCGCGGCCTCTATTTGTCTCTCAAATCTACGGCCGTCGCTAGATTTTGTTCCAAAGTCCCTACATGTAGGGACTCCTAGCAACTCTCCATCCTCACCATAAATCCCCTTTCACATGCTGAAGACACTGTGAAAGTCCACTTCATCCAATCAAGTCCCCCCCCCCCAATACATCACATATCCTCATATTGACATCCGGCCATGACAACACCAAACAACATTGTTCTTGACCCTGCACTCCAAGCACCCTTTCCAAATACAGGTTAGTTTAATTCTCATCATTACTTTCAGACCATACTTTTTTTGATTGCTTCCCGGCTGCTTCATCAGATACAATGGAATCGGAAGGTCCTTTGGCTCCACAGAAATCGTCTCAAAAAAGGAATATACATATCTTCAAGAGATAGTCAGTACACACAAGACTTCACTTTCTTAACGTTTTTGACTGATTTATTCCTTGTTTCAGACCTGTCTTCTATCAGTGTTCCAAAACCAACGGTCAAACATATACAATAAAATAAATTATTGCCCAATATTTTATATTGTATTGGTTTCCAGATAAAAAGTATCTTTAATAAATATATTATATCTGTTTGCCAATAAAATAAATTTGTATTTTATTGGAAACAGATAAATTTTATCCGTTTTGAATATATTGTATTGGGCAATAAAATAAAATATTGGCACAGTATCGCAGGTATTCAATAATTTCACTTTTTTTTCTTTCTTTCATTTTTCCTTTCATTTTTTTCATTTTTTTTTTTCATTTTTTTCATTTTTTTTCATTTTTTTTCATTTTTATCATTTTTTATCATTTTTTATCATTTTTTTCATTTTTTTTCATTTTTTTTCATTTTTTTCATTTTTTTCATTTTTTTCATTTTTTTCATTTTTTTTCATTTTTTTTTTCATTTTTTTCATTTTTGTTTTCTTTTGTTTTATCATTATTTTCATTTTTTTACTTTTTACTTTTTATTCTTTTTCTTTTGTTCTTTTTTTGGTAAGTGGAGGAAGTTAGAGATGGCCAAAGGGTATCCGTCGCGGATACCTGCCAGCGGGTGCAGATTTGGGTGCGGATGGCCCCTTTTCCGCAAAACACTGGCGGGTATCCGGGTATCCCAAAGGATACCCGAGGCCAGAAGGAAATACTTCCATTCAACAAGGTACATGTACCTCGTCAACCGGAAGGAACCATCCAGCCAGCGAGATACATGTACCTTGTCATCCGGAGGAGTTTCCTCAGTTGACGAGGTACATGTGCCTTGATGGCTGGAAGGAAATCCTTCCAGCCGTTGAGCATGTACCTCGCCGTCTGGAAGGAAACCCTTCCAGCTGGTCCCTTGCAGGCCCTTTAAAGGGCGGGTATCCGGGGATACCCGCTAAGGCGGGGGGATACCCGCTGGCGGATGCCGGTTTCCCTAGAAAAAGCAGCCGGATATCCGGATGCAAAGCGGCCATCTCTAGAGGAAGTCAGTTCCAGGGCAGAGGAGAGCAGGGGAGACTGTTCAAATAATCAGGGCTTGTGCTTGGCCTTTGGCATCCGCAGTTGTGGGCTGAATGGTACTGGCAAATTAGATGGACTTGCTTCATCTATCTCTAGTCTCACCATCATTGTCTCTTTGATCAATCAGATATATTCCATCACTAATGAGAGTGGAGCCCATTGGACTAGCTGTTCCACCAATTCACACACAAAAAAATAAAAGGGCAAACATCAGGTCAGCCTTTGATGATTGTTATGATTCAACTATGATGTGTGCTCAGAATAGAGGATATCAAGGTGCAAATGGGAGACTAGTGGCAATCTGAGGCTTGAATTGAAGCTAGCGAGCCAGCAAAGGGCAATAATGATTGATTCTCTGAGCATCAAAGTGGATGCAATGATGAATGTAG